AAAGCTTATTTCTACAAGGTGTAAGTTTCCAGAATGCCAAGCTTCAAAATGCAAATCTCAAAGGCTCATCTCTACAAGGTGCAAGTTTCCAAGATGCAAAACTTCAAAATGCAGAGCTTCAAAATGCAAATTTCCGATATTCATCACTCCAAAATGCATATTTTAAAGACATAGACCTCTCATTTGCAGATATTCGGAATACGGTTTTTCAAGATGTGGAGCTAAAGAATGTGAATCTTAAAAATGCAATGCTTCAAAATGCAAATTTCCGAGGTTCATGCCTCCAAAGTGTACATTTTGAAGATGCAGATCTCTCATTTGTGGATATTCGGGATACAATTCTTCAAAATGTGAATTTTGAGAATGCGAAGCTTCAAAATTTGAAGCTGAAGAATGTGAACTTTAAAAAGGCAATGCTTAATGCAAATTTCCGAAATACAATTCTTCAAAATGTGAATTTCAAGAATGCAAAGCTTCAAAATGCAATTCTTCAAGAGTCATCCCTCCAAAACGCATGTTTTAAGGATGCAGATCTCTCATTTGTAGTTATTCAGAATACGATTCTTCAAAATGTGAATCTTGAGAATGCAAAGCTTCAAGATGCAAATCTTCAAGACGTGCATTTTTGGAATGCAATGCTTCAAAATGCAAGTCTTCAAGGTTCATATCTCCAGAATGCACATTTTGGAAATGCGGATCTCTCATTTGCAGATTTCCAGAATACGATTCTTCAAGATGTAAATTTCAGGAGCGCGAAGCTTCAAAATGCGAATCTCCAAACCGCACATATTAAAAGTGCAGATTTCACATATGCTAATCTTCAGAATACAATTCTTGCTGATCTTCAAAATACGGCTGATTTGGGTGATGCTAGTAGAATATGTAATGTTAAATATTGTTATCAGAATGGAATTGGAGTTGAAGCGGATGGACAAAAAGCGTTCTTTGATTATAAAAAATCTGCAAAAATGGGCAATGCTAGAGGGACTTGCAGTGTTGGTCATTGTTATCGCTATGGAATTGGAGTCAAAAAGGATGTACATAAGGCATTCATTTATTATCAAAAATCTGCAGAAATGGGCGATGCTTGTGGAATGTGTAATGCTGGCTATTGTTATCAATATGGGATTGGAGTTGAAAAAGATGAGCAAATGGCATTCTTTTATTATCAAAAATCTGCCGATATGGGATATCCTAACGGAATGTATCAAGTTGGCTATTGTTATCGGAATGGCTGCGGAATATCTCAAGATTTCGAAAAAGCTACTGAGTGGCTGCACAAGGCAAAAGATAACAACCGTAGTCATGAAACGAAACTTTATACGGACGAGGTTTTGCATGAAAAAAAATGTCTAGTACCAGAAATTCCATTAAATGAAATAGAAATCTATGGAAAAATTGGGAAAGGAGGATATGCAAATATTCAATTAGCTCGATGGAAATCCAATGATTTAACACAGCCTATTATACTTAAATTACTTGACGAACAAGAAGCAAGATCTTCAGAGGTATGTATTTTCAAATGATACATATGATTTTTTTTAATTTTGCTAATTATTACTCAAATTTATAAAAGATAAATAGGTGTTATAGTATTTCATCTAAAAACCCAACATTTTTACAATGTCATGGCTTATTAAAAGATGACATCGGCAATTATTTTTTGGTAATGCAGTACACAAGAATGGGACCTTTAAATAAAAATCTTCACGAAATTGTAAAAATGAATTGGGATAAAAAACTAAATTTATTATCATGTATTGCATTCGACCTTCAAGTGTTTCATTCGCATAATATTCACTGTGATTTACATAGTGGAAATATATTTCAGGATGATTTATATAATGCTTATATCGGAAATTTTAGCTTTGCAAGGACTTGGAAAAATAAGAATAAATATGGTCCAAACATTTATGGAAATTATGGAAACGCTCCCTATGTTACTCCAGATGCATACGCTGCTGATATTTATGGTTTTGGAGTCGTCATGTCAGAAATATCAAGTGGAAAAAAACCTTTCGATGGCCAAAAAATATTTGATACTGAACTTGTGCTGGATATTTACCATGAATTGCAGCCTGGATTTGCGCCTGAGACTCCCAACTGTTATGTCGAGTTAGCTAAACAATGCATGGATGCTGATCCACAAAAACGACCTTCTGTTGATGATATTTTGAGAACACTTAAAAAATGGAATACAATTATGAAGGATTCTAATGATGATGCAAATGAAATTAAAAGGCAATTTTTACATGCTGATGAAATAGTAAGAACGTTGTTAACTATCACATCCCAAAATTCTGATCTTATGTACACTAGTGATGATGCCCATTTGTACACTAACGATGATTATGACCATGTTCACCATATGTGCACTAGTGGTGATGATGATGACTATACGCTAATAATGCATATTTAAATTTAAACAATATATTGCAAGATGCAATAGATACAATTTTAAAAAAATTACAAGATTTTGCCAAGATGCAATAGATACAATTTTAAAAAATTACAAGATTTTGCTTTAATTATAAAACGATCCATGCCATCTTGAACATAATAAAGTTTCCGTAAAAGTATAGGATTTATTTTTTAATTATAATTGGTAGCAATTTTTCAAAACATCAGCATTTGTGTATTTTGAATATTATAGATTAGCATATATTAAGTATTGTGAACTTGTCTAAATGTTTTTAAAATCTTTTGTACAAGAATTGTTTTTAAATATTATGAACTAAAAATACTTAACTTGATATTCTACTTAGTGTCTATTTGCAGTGAAAGGTCGGATTTTTTATTTACAGTGGTTAGCAATCTTTATAGACATTCGTAATAGTTTCTATCCTTTAAGCACTGTTTATTTCTCTTTTGTTACTATAAGGCCACTCAAAGCTAATTATTAGGTTAACGGGTTCAGACACGAGGGGGAATGGGGAGATTTAAACAAACACATATGAGTGCTGTCAATAGAAACCTGTCATCGGACTTTCCATGTACAGTTGGCTTTCTACATGTCGTCTATGGACAATCAACTATCAGATATTCAATTATATATTGTGCCGGACATACCATATATCAGAACGAAATATAATTGAACTTCCGATGATAGATTGTTTAGACGGCATGTAGAAAGCTAACTGTACATTGAAAACCCGATGACAGGTTTTCTATTGACAGCACTCATATATTCCCAAGAATATTTGATCGAATCTCATTGGTCAGCCTTAATAACATGATTAATGAACTTGATTCTTTGTTGGGATTGGCTTGTTTAATTTCCGGGTGGAACAGTTAACCGGGGGATGACGTTTACCTAATAATCAATTAAGTTTCAAGTATTCAATCAAAGACTTTACGATTTGGAAATTATGAGCTCATAAATACAGAGAAACCTCCCTTCCCTAAATGCACTCCTCCATAAATGTATTTTCAAACTCTGGCCAAATATATGCTTGACTTCACTAAATGCAAATTTTCTTTAAATATATATTGATCCAGACAGGGCGCATTTATGGCGGTTTCTCTGTCACCACTATTGAGGTTGCTGACGTTGAAATCGACACTGGCGTAAGTGATCATCTTACCATTTACATTAATAGGCTTTACAGAAACAATAATTTATATAAATGTTCTTAGGACATTATAGCTAAAGTTATTGAAGAAGGGAAAGTTCCTATTGCTTCGGAACGCATCTCTTTTGGAAAAGTTGTCGAAATATTGACTAAAGGTAAGTTTCTAATAATTTTATTTATTTAATTCTTAAATGCTAAAATTTCGATCATTTTTTTTTTATGAAACTATCAGTTACTAGAAGACAATTTAAACTCCGCAGTACCAGTCACGAAGAAACAGAAAAAGAATTTCCCTTCATGGCTAGTGAAGAAGTGTTAGATATGGTATGTCATTCGAACTATATGTATATTTTTTTTGTTAAAAATTATAAAGTATTATTTTCAATAGTTTCGTTGGTTTAATAAATGCGGTGTTTTTGGCAATGAACTTAGTGACATTTCCATCGCTAAAGATTTACATCCAAACATTAGGGATGGCAAATGTTTTAAAACAGAATGTTTTAAATCAGTTTTATATTGCTTTAAAGTGATTTTTTACATGTTTTAAAACATCGTCACCGA